TGATTTCAAATTTTAGCACTTAAAAATAAAATAAAATAAAATTTAGGAATTAAAAATAATACTATTTTCAGTCCTTAATATAAAAGCAAGTTGACCATTCTGAGTAAATTAAAAAAAATTAATCAAGTTATTTATTTGTAATAAATAGGTGTTACCTTTCTTAAAATATTCTTACTTATAATGTAAATTAGTTAAAAGTACCATTTAATGAAACATTTAACATATGTAATTATTAAAAAAACTACCTTAAAAATGAATAAATATGAAAAATAAAATGAATCAAAATTTTATATTTAAAATTAATTTAAATGTCAAACTAATTTTTATATTAAGCATAGAAAGTAGCTTTAACCTCTTTTTTTTTTTTTTTGCTAAAGCATAGGTATCCCGGAGGCAATCCTATTTAAGGTACTGTTGGGTACTAAATGTGGATATCTCTTCTAGTGAAGATTCAAATCTTAATTCATCATATTATAAGGGACTAGTTTTTTTTACTAGACCTAACCCCGTTACTTTCTTTTCTTTGTTTTTTTTTTTAAAAAATCTTCGAACGTGTCTCAACAGGAGAAGTGGAGAAGGCCATTCACATGATTCGGGCCACAGGCTAAAAATGCCACTTGGGGCCCAATTTGAGATGAGCTATGGGTAGGGCCGCAGGGGTATCAGTTGGGGACACCTTGTCCCTGCCTCATGCATAGTCTCGTACTCTTATTGGTTATCACGTCCATAGAAGGACGAGTTTGTAATTTTACATTTGGGCTGCAAACCTGGTTGCCAGATGGTTCTTTGTACTCTGGGGTATAAAAAATTGAAAGCTAACAGAAAGTAGTGCTTGGAAGATAATTGAAAATACTGAATTATTTTTCTAAAGTGTACTATCATTTGCAATTTAAGTGCATTCAAAATCTTAGTGTGAAACCGTCATTTAAGATTTAGTGATTTCAATTTTTTTTTCCGAGAATTCTCACACACAAAAATATAGCCTTTTGGTATATTTTTACGTTTGCCCCTCCCACCAAATTAAGATATCATATCGGAATTGACATTTTAAAATGCTTGTTTAAAATGACGGTAAGATTCTTCAAAAATAATTTTACGATAATAAATATCAGATATTTATGTGAGAAAAATTTGAATAAGTCTGACTGGGGAGTGGGGAGTTTAGTTGAATTCCAAACAAGCAGTGATTGGACTACGTTGTTTTTAAGTGAATAATGAATTTTCAAGAAAAATAAAATAGGAAGCTTAGGTTCAAAAGCAAAAATTTAGGTAGCTCCCAACAAACACATTCATTACTCTTTAAAGTCAACACATGCAAGGGACAAGTTATGTAGGTATTGGCTATCGATTTGACGAGACAACAAGCGTATTGTTGGTTTGATCTTTTTGCTTTCTTCGTCTCCCAACGCCATCTCCAGCTTGGCTCTTTATATACGAAACCCACATTTGGAATTGGACGTAGTAACTTGGTACTTCTCTATTTCTGAGGTATTTGGATAGAAATCAAACCATAGTTTTAGAAGTATTTTTATGATTTACGAAGTAAATATGTAGAGGAGTTTGTCTCGTTTTGTAGAAAAGTGCTTCTGAGGGTTGCCAAATACCCCTTTGGTCTAAATCTAAGATTTAGAAAATAGGTTTATTTTAGTTTTAAAAATATTTTAATTTAATCTTAAAACATGAGGTGTGTCAATTTAATTTATCTCCTAAATTTATATTTTTTTTTCTGAACTACTACTATTTTATTTACTGGCAATAGTAAGGAAATTTTATATTAAGAGAACAGCTTTCGATGCAGATAATTAAAATAGATACTTTAGAAAACTATTTTTTTTTCAAATAACTAATTTAATTAATTAATTTTCTTAAGCACTATAAATTAGTTACCTAACTCATACATTTATTCATTATATTTGAAACTCCAAATTTTACTCTAAGAAATATCATATCTACTAATGGCGGTTTGATTGAACTGAAGGTATCTAATTTCCTTCAACAGTTTAACTTAAAAGATTGAAAGTTTGAGCTTTTTTTTTTTTTTTTAGATAACATTGGAAGTTTGAGCTTCATGAATAAGAATAAAAAAAATAATTGAAAGAGGCCTTTTCTTTATATAATAAAAAAAATTGAAAGAGGCATTTTCTTTATATATATATTTGGCGCCAGCGAAAGCATCACAAAAATCTAATAATACTTCTATTATTAATTTTCTTTGGGCGCATATTGAAGGCTGGGGAATACATATTACTTTTTTTTTTTTTTGCCAATATACATTCACCAACATGTTTGTTGGGGGGGGGATGTATATATTAGTTTGCACGTACAGGACTGAGGACCCCACACATCACCTGAACTTTAACTATTTCTTTAATTAAAATTGATCTCTCTACGCCTCTTTAATTAATTATTATTTAATTAAAAAGGAAAAGACTTGATAATAGATCCGTTTGGAACAACTTATAAATAGTTTTTCAATAATGATTTACGGAATACGAGACAAATATGTGAGATGAATTTTGTATCAACTTATGTAAAACATGCTTATAAAGAATTTTTACTGTTATCCCAAACAGACACAATATTATCCGAACACAGAGTGAAAAAACAACTATTCGCCAAAAAACATGTAAGGAAGTTGTGTCTTTGGCCAAACAAAGAATGCAAGGAAACGAATGAACAATAATTTTACAACAATAAAACAGAAATATTAGATTTAGCTATAAATAATCTGCAGTATCAATCTATTTTACTTTATTTTGTCAAATTATATTGTTCAAAGAAGAAAATGGGCTTCGTGATTTTTGTCTTTTTTAAAATGAAAAATAGTTAATTTTTTATTTGCTCAATTTCAGACACGTTTTAAATATTTAAGATACCATTTAAAACCAGTTATTTCTAAAGGGATTTTGGATAGAAACTAAATCATAGTTTTAAAAATACTTTTACGATATACGAAGTAAATATATAAAGGAGTTTGTTTTGTTTCATGGAAAAGTGTTTTTGAGAAGCACTTTTGAGTGCTTCCAAATACCTTCTAATTTTGGCTTTGAAGACTCCACGTAGCCTATACATTGATGGCTAAGCCTTCGTCTATTTCTTCCTCTTTTTAAAACAAGTAGTATGTGACAAGCATGCAAGTAATGCATGAAAACAAAATATTGGCAACTCGTGAAATGCGAGAAAGAAACTATAATTCATTTTTTTTTGGGTTCACGCCTAGCACGCGTTTATATTTCGTAATTAATCCTTTTATTTTACCACACATATATAATTGGGCCAAAAAATATAGAGCGCGCACACTCTGAAATATACCTGTCTTCTTCCAACGATGGTTAATTCCTCCTGTTGACAAGCAATTCACTTATAAGATTATGAGTTTAAACTTTATACCTGTTTAGAAATGCTCTGTAAAATATACCTGCCTTACAGAAGACTTTATTAGTGGATAATTTATAAATATATTTATAAACACTTTCTGAGTATAGAAACATACTCTAACACTTATGAAACTCCAAGATTCAACTCACTTAAATTTTATTTTACTAAAAAAATAATATACCTATTGGTCCAGTTAACAAAGTACTTACATATTGATTTAATTATATACACTACTTATGGTCCTTGATATAAGATTTGGCTGACAAATTTGAGAAAATGAAGGAAGATAAAAAAAAAAACTTAATTATAACATATATTACATGATCTCTTTAAAAATACTTATACGTATCATTAGATTATATGTCAATTTATAAATTGGATAAATTAGTTTTGAGAAAAATGATAACTATAATAATTTAAAATAAATTATTTAAATTTTTAATCGTTTCAAATTAGTTAATTGGGTGTTATATTAAAAATATGAGGCAGTATATGCATACTTTAATCTTATTCTTAAAAAAAAAAAAACTATCAGTTGACCCATGCCAAATTGAATGCTAACTTGGAGAACATATGCAACTATATGTAAGAGTTTTTAAATTGAATAAAAGTTTTATTGATGTAATAATATTATAAATAAATCTGCAAAGAAATAATATTATAAAAATTATGTCCAAGGTCAAAACAATGCAAATGGAAAATGTAAATTATGCATTTTCCCGATGAAAATGTAAATCATGTTACCAAAAAAAAAAAAAGTAAATTATGCATTTTCCCGATGAGCTGACCCAATCTCCAGGTATCTACTTTTGTGCGTTGGCAAAAGACAAAAAAAGGCTCACTGTAAAATGGGTTTCACGAACCCGGGGTGTGGTTGGGCGGTGGGGGCTCATCCTCCCTTAACCAAGTGTTGAGGGTTCGATCCTCGTCTTGAGTATGAAAAAGCTTTAAAAATTCCGGACCAGCTGTCCCACCCATCGAGGTGCCTACAAGCCAACGAAGGGATTAATTACTGGGTTCGCTAATGGATACCCTGATGTTTCATAAAAAAAAAAGGGTTTCACGGGATACATATTTGGGAGAATTAGAATGAGATTCTATATATAAAAAAATTACAAAACAAATCTTAAAAATATTATTTTTTATATTAAAATTTGTCATTACAAAATTCAGGTTGTTATTAGATTTTTTAATAATTATTTCTTTTGTATGAAATTTGCTTGTAATTCTCTTTCCGTATTTTTGTGAAAAAATACGGTGAAAGTTGAAAACTCACAGTTACCGAGATCCCCAAGAAATACTACCGGTAAAAGTGTGACGACCGAGAAACAGTAGTATTTGTCTTCTCTCTATTGTATTTGCACGTTCAGATGGCATCCGCGTTTACAATGGCGCCAGAAAATGCAAGAAAACGAAAATCTACGGTCGCCGGTCGGTTAGGGGACCAGTGTCTTAGTTAAAAAGGAAAAAGAAAATTTTACCAGGAATGTATTTCGAAATTTGATGTGAATTTTGAATCATCACCGAATGGGCTATTGCCATATTGGCTGGCAAAGCACTGTCGAAGCGGTTGTTCCCTATAAAGGGAATCCCCACATTGGATTGCCAAAGCTCCACGTCAAGGCTTAGTCACACACAGAATCGGAGACGTAGAACTTTCCCGAAGGGAAGAAGAAGGATCGCGCCTTTCTAATTTTCCTGTTCTCTCTTCGTTCGCTGTTTTTTTTCTCACGAACCCCATTTGCGGCAAGCTCTGGTAGATGGAGTATCAATTCTTTCTGGGAGGGATTCTAGCTTCGTGTTTGGTGCTTGTGTTTTTTGTTTGCAGATCTGTCGAGAAGAAATTCTCGGGGTCAAGAGAGGCCACCAGTATTGGGTTTGCTGAGATCTCAGAAAATGGAGAATGCGAATCAGAGGATGCGGGAGGTGCAGAAATTATCATAGTTGGTGCTGGAGTTGCCGGGGCGGCTCTTGCTTACACACTTGGGAAGGTGAAAATATTACTTGTTTTGTCCTTATAAGATCCCCACGCCCTTCATCCGCATGATGATTTTCCTGGCTCGGAGTTTATACACGTTTGAAAGCACGCATCTGTCCATGTTTTGGATATTCCTAAGTCAAAAGAGAAAAAATATATAGAGAGAAATTGTGAATAGTTTGTCTTCGCTTGCAGGGAAAGCTTCAACGGTTTGAAAGGAAAGAACTATTACTTTTCACTGTATTTTTCAATGAAATTCAGGGGGGCAATCGAGGAAGGGCGTAAACAAAAAATACAATTAATGCATACTTTTTATTTTTGTCGCCGACAGATGTCATTATCTTTCCCTTTCTCTCTCATTTTATTTTCAAATTTTGTGAAATTCATGTACTTTTTGTTTCTAAATTCTGTTTTCCCGTCGGAGTTGGAGAATCACAAAAAATACCAAAGTTTCTGAGACATTTTTTGAAACCTTTTCTTTTGGCATTTTCCCATCAATCTGACGAAGAGCAAAAGAAAATTGTGAATGCCCTGTATTTCTGGGTTTTCAAAATCTCTATGCACACCAGATTTGCCTAGACAGACTTCTGCCATGGAAGAATCTGTAAAATCAGGCGGACAGAGCATCGGAAACTGTTAAAAGTATTGTATTTCTTTCTTTCCAAAATCTGTTTGTGACCCTCGAGTTTAGGGAAATAACAAAACCATACCAACTTTATTTCATTCTTTCAAACTCTGTCTGTGGCGTTCACAGGAGAAGGTAAATCACAAAAACCCACCAGAGTACGGAACTCCCATAATCTCTACAATTATTAATCCAGATTTAGTTCAGATCTGTGATTATTTTCTGTCTCTGAGCTTTTGTTGCATGAAGGCATGGAGCTGTAATACCTGCTAATGGTCTTGCTCTATGCTGCTTATTGCAGGGTGGACGAAAAGTGCATGTTATTGAGAGGGACTTGAGTGAGCCTGATAGAATCGTGGGTGAATTGCTGCAGCCTGGAGGTTATTTGAAGTTAATTGAATTGGGTCTTGAGGGTAAGCAAGAATCTGAAAGATCTTGATAATTTGAGCATGTTAACAGATGAATAAGGTTACTAGGTTGTTGCAGATTGTGTGGAGGAAATTGATGCTCAAAGGGTCTATGGCTATGCTCTGTATAAGGATGGGAAAAACACAAAACTATCTTATCCTTTGGAGAAATTTGACTCCGATGTTTCTGGCAGGAGCTTTCACAATGGGCGTTTCATTCAGAGAATGCGAGAAAAGGCTGTGTTTTTCCCAAAGTACCTTTTCCTTTTCGCTTCAGACTTTAGTTTACATTTAACTGTTGCTGTTTCTAAAACTTTCAATTACTATGGAGTTCAAATATAGATTTTTGAAGTTGTTTTGAAATCCTTTGTTCACATCATGTTATCTCCAATATTTCTGCAGCGTGAAACTAGAACAAGGAACAGTCACAGCTCTAATTGAAGAAAATGGAATCATCAAAGGGGTGCACTACAAAACCAAGGATGGGCAAGAGCTCACAGCAAGGGCCCCCCTCACCATAGTCTGTGATGGTTGCTTTTCCAACTTGAGGCGTTCTCTTTGCAAGCCAAAGGTAAAATATACTTGGTTTCTTTCCCAGTCATACAGTGGTGTTTATCTTCCAAGCACAGCTACTAAACCCAAAAATGGACAGGACCCTGTAATATGTGAAATGTATCTATGAAACTATGAAGAGTTAATATGAATGTCAGATATGTGCTGAAGACACAGCCCAAGTTTTTTGGAGTGTTTGATGCTTCATAATAGATTTTCATTCTACTCGCACTGCAATGTTTATTGCCCTTTTTTGCTTAATAGGCATAACTGTTTCTCCAGGTTGATGTACCATCTCATTTTGTTGGTCTTGTCCTGGAGAATTGTGATCTTCCATATGCAAACCATGGGCACGTTATCTTAGGTGATCCTTCTCCCATTTTATTTTATCCCATTAGCAGCACTGAGATTCGCTGTTTGGTTGACGTACCTGGCCAAAAAGTACCTTCTATTGCCAATGGTGAAATGGCTACATACCTGAAATCTGTGGTAGCTCCTCAGGTGCTGATATCATTCTTGACTCTTTATTATCAGTTATTTTAAATAATGAACATTCTTCAATACAGGCTAGCCAGATAACCTTTACGCAATAAGGGATGTTTTATGGTTTCAGGTTCCGCCAGAGCTGTATGATTCTTTTCTAGCAGCCATTGATAAGGGCAAGATAAGGACCATGCCAAACAGAAGCATGCCCGCCTCTCCTTACCCCACACCCGGTGCCCTTCTGATGGGAGACGCCTTTAATATGCGTCACCCTTTGACGGGAGGAGGAATGACTGTGGCACTAGCTGACATTGTTGTCCTGAGGAATCTTCTTAGGCCACTTCGTGATTTGCATGATGCTTCTGCTCTTTGCAAGTATCTTGAATCATTCTACACGCTGCGCAAGGTAAATGTGGTGTGAAGCTGCTAGATGACTGTTTCTTTGATATTAGTATTAGTGGTAAATCACAATTATGGCTGCCTATTTGTTATTTGTGACTTGTTCAAATGCTTGTAAGCATGACACATACGGGATATGACAAACATGACTCTGCGACACTATATAATATGGAATGCTCATGTAGAAAAATAAAATTAAATAAGAACATTTAGTCGTTTCACTCTCCAAATACTACGTGGAAACCAACAATTATGCAAAGTAAATCTGATATCAAGCTGTTAGATAACTATTTTCATGGCGGTAAACAATCTCTATATCTGGTTCCATTGCCAAGAAACATGGACATAGGCAAAAGATATGACATAGATTTGACAGGGACACTATAAAATACTAATCATGTGTGATTGGCCGAGCCATGTAGTACGGGTGCTAGATATGGCTACCACCTATTTTTATTTAGAGTCAGCGTTTTGTACTTTAATGAAGCTTGATTTGAAGGGAATTGATAGGTAGTGGCTGATTTTGTTTGCAGCCAGTGGCATCTACAATAAACACATTGGCAGGTGCACTGTACAAGGTATTTTGTGCATCCCCTGATCCAGCTAGGAAGGAAATGAGACAAGCATGTTTTGATTATCTCAGCCTTGGAGGCGTTTTCTCGAATGGACCAATATCTTTACTATCTGGCTTGAACCCTCGCCCACTTAGCTTGGTTCTCCATTTCTTTGCGGTGGCTATCTATGGTGTTGGCCGTTTGCTAATCCCATTTCCTTCTCCAAAGCGCATGTGGATTGGAGCTAGATTGATTTCAGTGAGTATTTTTGGTTGACAAATTTAAGTATGTTAAATTTGAGCCAGATGGGGGCAAAAAAAAAAAGAAAAAAGAAGCTAACATGAATAAGTCATATAAATACATTATAGGTGAATTTAATTGAAAAATGAGTTTGATGTGTCGTCAATTCATATTTGATTTTTCCACAGGTCTACCTAAGAATTTGTCTTTTTGAGTTTCTCATTTGGATAACTAGAATCTACCTTTCAGATATCACTGCTTAAACCAACCACAGATAATGATACATGTATTTTGTGTTATATTTTCAGGGTGCATCGGGAATCATTTTCCCCATTATTAAGGCCGAAGGAATAAGGCAGATGTTCTTCCCAGTGACCGTGCCGGCATATTTCAGAACTCCTCCTGTTCATTTACATGACTCAAACTGAGACCATATATAGAAGGGGGAGAACTTTTCGAGTTTGTTACTACATATAGTTTCTGCTATAGCTTTCTTTCTTTCTTTGGAAAAGAAAAAACTAGTTATAGTTCGTATTTTTCTTTCCCCTTCATGCTTGATTAAGAACAATAACTGTGGACAACTGCTGCTTCATGTGCATTTCGTTTTGTTCACTGAATTGGAGCAAAAGAAAACTCTAGGAGCCTATCTTCCAATTGTAAAATTTACAGAGACCAGTAATATGTTTCCTTCATAGCTAATGCAAGATCATGTTTTAGGCTGCTGCTTATGGTTTATCTATGTTCATAAAACTAAGAAAATTGTGTGAAGAGTAAGTGATGCGATGGGGGAACGCCCTGAAATGAAATATCGGGCTTGGAAAGATGCCTACTCTAGGCAGATAAGAACGAATTTGTTTATACCAAAAAAAAAAAAAAGAACGATTTTGATTGTAACTTGTGAACGCTGACGTTTGTTTTTTGACATTATTTGGAGGATGAGGGATATGATTTTGACTGGAGAAAAAATGAATTCTGGATGACATATCACTAAACTTCAAAGTTTTCTGTTTTGGCATGAGGAAGGAATTCTTGACTCTTGAGGAGCATTCGGCCGTGTGTGAAGATCTCTGACAGGATAAAATGCTTGGCATCGTGAGAGATTAAAGTTAGTGATGTATTTTAATAACAATCAACTGACTTTCCGCATTGGAAGACTCCTAAGTAGTTTTTTTTTTTTGAATTGAAAAGTGACATCAATACAGAACCAACAAATTAAAACAGAAACAAGTAAACTCTCATCATTCTCCTTCCCTACTTAGATAGGGTGGGGGGTGATCGAAAACACAAAACGGGGTGTCCAAACTATGAGCAGCTTTAGCTAGGAGGTCCGCACTAGAGAGGTCTTCCCTGTAGATGAAGAACGGCAAGACTTGCCAATCTCTATTCAGAAGTAGTCGTGCATCATTCATAATGTCATAAAAAGGGTGATCCGCATTGCAACCGCGTGAAACCAAATTTATTGCTTCAATACAGTCTGAGTAAAGCACAACTCGCCTAAATCCTTTTGACCAGCTAATTTGTAATCCCTGCATAATGGCTAGTGTTTCTGCAATGGCTGAGGGTACTGTTGTGAGCTTACAACTGAAGCTGCAGATCCATCCGCCTTTTTCATCCTTTAAAATTCCTCCGCATCCACTACGTCCATCCCGTAGAACTGACCCATCCACTTCCAGAGTGACATAGTGTCCCTGTAACGGTTGATGTTCTTTACCTCTACTACTATCCTGTTTATAGAAGGAGCAGTTGGCTATCATATCTTGGTCACAGCAAGCTTTAAAGAAACTTGGGAGAGCACTAGGTTCTTCATTAGTAATATTTGGATCAAAAAGTTTGTTGCATCTTGTGACCCAAATATCCCAACAAGTGTAAGCGAAAAGAGATGCCCAGGAGAGTTTCTTTGTAAAAGCCTTGCCCGCTTCCTTGTGAAGATTCCATTTGATCCAGTCTGCTCCTTGAAGGGAGTTAAACTGAGTCCAGAACAATGGGTCAAGGACTGATCTCCATCTGTTAATGGCATTCTTGCATTCACGAATCAAGTGCATATCGTCTTCCAAATCCTCACAGCCAAAAGGGCAGTTTGTTGTCACCTCCAAACCCCTCCTTAGCCTGAGTTCTGTTGTATGAGCTCGTCCATGTGAGAAAAGCCACAGGAAGGATTTGACCTTTTCTGGTACTTGTAATTGCCAAATTTTTTTCCAAATATTGTCCGCCTGGTTTTGGGTACCTGCAAGGAGAAACTTATAAGCAGAATTAACTGTAAAACGACCATCAGTGGATGGTCTCCAAATATATTTGTCCTCTCCTCTCTCCTCACGCGGTGGGTGTGTCCACAGGATACGGTCAACATGTGCCTGGGGAAGGACTGCCGCTAGCTTGTTACTATTCCATTGTCCTCTAACATCCACATAATCAGCAACTACCTCTGTTAAGTTCACCAAGTGCTCAAGACCAGGGATTAAATCGATGAGTGGAATATTAATCACTGACCAATTGTCAAACCGAAAGGAAGTGGAATTGCCATTACCCACTTTTTTCCCCAAACCTTTAATGAAATCTTTCCAAACCTCGCTCACACCTTTCCAAGTAAGGGATGCGTTGGATTTCTTCCTTACATGAGGCCGTGGGCCTTGTCCTGTGTCATACTTCGTCTTTAGGACCTTGACCCAGAGAGCATCTTTATCACAAACCAGTTTCCAACATAGCTTTATCATAAAAGCTTCATTCTGCTTTCTCAAATTTTTGATTCCCAATCCTCCCATTTTCCTGTCTTCTGTAATTTTTTGCCAAGAAATCAAGTGAAGTTTCCTGTTCCCATCATACTCTCCCCACAGAAAGTTTCTACTAGTCTTCTCCAGCTCATTAATTAGTCGCTTGGGGATTAAAGAAGTCTGCATCTGGTAGGAGGGAATTGCAGATAGCACTGCCTTGATCAACGTAGCTCGACCAGCCATACTTAAACAGCTTCTTTTCCATCCAGCCATACAAATTGAAGACTCCTAAGTAGTATTTTAAGTTCAAGTTCTAAATATAGATACTATTTTAGAAGCTTAATTCGGTTGATCTCAATCTCATTTGTTCAAGTTAATTCTTTTAGATTACGGCTTTCGATCATGATTAAAATTACCACATATTTTCTTCATCCCTATTTTAGTTGTTTTCAATTTTTCAGAAGAGAGAGCACACAGAGACTAAGGAAACAACATTCATTTGTTATGGCAAATTAATATATTTTGTGAGTAAAAATATATTTTTATTCCTATAATTTTATAGGATGTCTTATTTTTGTTCTTTGATCTTATAGAATATCTTTTAATTCTCTAACTTCTTAACACACCATTAGTGTCAAATAATAATTTTTTGTGTCGATTATTGTTATTATTTTTTTAAAAAACTTTATATATTAAATCATGTTTTGTCAGCGTTTAACAATTTTAATAATAAGATTATTATTTTTACTGAAACTAACAGTGTTGGGACTAGCAAAATGAAATTTTAATTGAATTTAGGAGCCCGTTTAGAATAACTTATAAATAATTTTTTTAATATGATTTATAAAATACAAAATAACTATGTGAGAAGAGTTTTATTTTGAGTTATGTTACAAGTGATTGTATACATGATTCTAGATAGGGTCCGAACTTGAAGCTAAAAGATTAAAGTGTATTTAATAATAATATTATTATTAATTATTAATAGCATAACTATAAATAAGTCTGCGACCCTGCGTCAGAGATTCTCTTCAGCTTTCTACCATATGGCGTTTCAGGATCATGTAGGTCCCTCTTTTCTTTTCGAAATGACGAAAACACCCTCAAATGACCCAAACCAGCCCTAGCCTTTCCCAGGAATACCCAGGATGTTCATCTCTCTGTCTCTTCCTCTCTCTGTCTTTCTCTCTCTGTCTCTATCTCCCTATCCGCTGATATGGCATCGCATTCAGTGTTCGGATCGGCCTCTTTCGGTCTCTGAGAAGCCTCCTCTGCTCATGCTCAGGTCATTATAATATTTGTTTATGCGACGAAGTCTTTTGCGATTTGGGGGTTTTCTCGACAAACCAGCTCCGGATTTTGGATGCTTTCACCCAAGTCAGATGTTTGTTGTTTGAATTTATTCTGTGTAATACGAAGTCGTGTTGAACGATTTTCCTATGATTCTGTTGCTTTTTTTTTTTTTGGCCTGATGAGATTCTGTTGAAATTTAAGTTGAATTGAATTTCCCCCTTTGTTTGGGCCTTTGTTCTTTGTCATTTTACCGTCTACATGTTTGCAAATGTTTTAGAATATATATCTTTCCTTTAGTAATATTCTACTGCATATGTTTCCATGAATTCATGCCTTTCTAGTTTCAACAAAATTTGTTTCCCCACCTGTTTTCCAGCTGTCTTCTTCGGCTCTCTAAATCTTGTAATAAGACAGTAATTAGAAGTTGAGGTAATCGTGTGATTCAGCTATACAAGTTTAATCTCCTTTGGCATCATTTTGGCTATGGGAACTGACAAGCTAACAAGTTTACTTCAAAAATGACGATTGTTCTTGTTATCTGATAGACCAATCAGCATTGCTCTTATTGCCTCTTTTTATTACGAGTAGCATGTGGCTGTGGGATGCGCTCATTGCACTAATGCTGCAAATTAATCTCATATGCTACTTTGTATTCACTCTACTCTTTTTGTAACTAATTTACAGAGATTAAGAATGTTAGATAAATTAGTTATTTGCGAAAAATTATACTGGTTTGTCTAAAATATCCTTTTTAATCATTTGCATTGGAAATTATCTTATTGATAGAAATTCCCTTTAACGTGTGAAATCAGTAGGGATAGTTTGTGAAAAAAATTATAAATTTGAGAGACATGTGAATTGAGGCCATACATTTAGAAGCAAAATAAATTCTTAATTAACTTTTTCATTTAAGACTGGAAGGAGTATTTTTTTTAATGATGTGTTAGAGATTCATGATATCTTTGACATTTATGTGCTAATAAAATAAGTTTCGGTCAACATATTACCCGCATTATTGAAGTAGACTGTTAAACTGTCGATGAAATCAGTGTTGTTGAGTTTCAAACCTTGTTATCTGCTGTACCCCGTTTGTGTTATATGAATTTATCAGATTATACTCAATGGGTTAGGGGCAAAGTGCTACCTAAGCTCTCGATTTTTTATTTTAAGTTTTTATTCTGTGCTTTGAGTTTGCACTTTTCACTCTCCTTTGTTATCTTTTCTGGCTCACAACCCAGCACCAGCAGCAAGCCTACGTCAGACACTAAAAGCAAATAGCATGCCCACTTTTTTTTCTGGTTCTGCTGGTTGTCATTTGGTGATCAAATGTTAATATGAAAGGTTTCTTCCCGTTTTACGTGTGTATGGATCCCTGACAGCTCCCTATGAATTTCTTTAGGATGTGCATCGGCTGAGAACCATTTATGGGGCTGTCAAATTATGAATTGCTAACCTATGCACGTAGACTGCTGATCCCACTGTAGCCTGTCATTTAAGCTTAAATCTTTGCTTCTCTTTGGTTTTATTTTCAGAAATGCTCCTGTGGTGGTGCTGGTGTCTGAAATTGTTTGTGCTTTCATGTTTATGATGTTATAATTTGCTTAAGAAATTAGTTATTACCTTTTTCTGTGTAATCCTGTTCATTCAATGAACTCTTATATCTTTTTTTTTCCTCGGAATTAGTTCTGATGTATTTTGATTATGTTATTCGGTAAATTGCTGCAGGTTGTTTAGATGGGAAAGCTTATTTTAACCTGGCTGGTCACATTGGCCAATATAGTAGAGAAAATGGCCTTGTTATTTTTTCCTCCCATGTGATGGAAATGGTTTGAGTGGTTGATGAATATGTCATAGGAGTTTACACCCAAAACTTCACTGCATGGAAGATCACACATTTGTTGTTGGTCAAAAATTCCCTGATGTAAAAGCATTCCGCAATGCAATTAAAGAAGCAGCTATTGCGCAGCATTTTGAGCTTCATATCATTAAAAGTGACTTGATACGTTATTTTGCCAAGTGTGCATCAGATGGCTGTCCATGGCGCATTCGTGCTGTCAAACTCCCTGATGCTCCTACCTTTACAATTAGAAGTCTTGAGGGGACACATACTTGTGGGAGAAATGCACATAATGGGCACCACCAGGCTTCTGTTGATTGGATTGTGAGTTTTATTGAGGAAAGACTGCGAGATAATATCAATTACAAACCAAAAGATATTTTACATGACATCCATAAGCAATATGGGATAACAATACCATATAAGCAAGCTTGGCGTGCAAAGGAACGTGGCCTTGCTGCAATATATGGCTCCTCTGAAGAAGGATATTGCCTACTTCCTGCATTTTGCGAGCAGATAAAGAAAACCAATCCTGGAAGTTTTGCAGAGGTGTTTACCGCAGGTGCAGATAACCGTTTTCAGAGGCTTTTTGTTTCTTTTTATGCATCGATACATGGCTTCCTTAATGGTTGTTTGCCCATTGTTGGACTTGGGGCAATCCAACTGCAAAGCAAATACCTTAGCACATTCCTTTCAGCAACGTCATTTGATGCTGATGGTGGGTTGTTCCCACTTGCATTTGGTGTTGTTGATGTTGAAAATGATGAAAGCTGGACTTGGTTTTTGTCCCAGTTGCACAAGACACTTGAGGTAAATAGTGAAACCGTCCCGCCAATGATATTCTTGTCAGAGGGACAAAAAGGTATTATGGATTCAGTAAGAAGGAAGTTCCCTAATTCTTTTCATGCATTCTGCATGCGTCACTTAAGTGAAAGTATTGGCAAAGAGTTCAAGAATTCTAGGCTTGTCCAACTTCTGTGGAAGGCAGCATATGCCACCACAACCTCTGCTTTTAGAGAAAAAATGGCCGAAATAGAAGAGGTTTCTTCTGAAGCTGCTAAATGGTTACAGCAGTTTCACCCATCTGAGTGGTCTCTAGTACATTTTGAAGGAACACGATATGGTCATTTGTCCTCTAATGTTGAGGAGTTCAATAAATGGATTTTCGAAGCCCGGGAGCTGCCAATTATTCAGGTGATTGAGCGGATTCATAACAAGCTCAAGACTGAGTTTGATGACAGGCGTTTGAAGAGCAATTCATGGTTCTCTGTACTCACTCCATATGCCGAGAGGCGAATGATGGAGGCTATTACCTGTGCATCCACATATCAAGTCCTTAGATCAGATGAAGTGGAATTTGAGGTTCTCTCAGGTGATCGCTCAGATATTGTGAATATTGGTAGCCATAGCTGTTCTTGCCGTGATTGGCAGCTATATGGAATACCATGTTCTCATGCTGTTGCAGCTCTGATGTCATGTAGAAAGGATGTCTATGCTTTTACCGAGAAGTGTTTTACTGCTGGTAGTTACAGAGAGACCTATGCAGAGGAAATACATGCCATCCCTGAGAAACTTGAATGGAGAAAAACAGATGAGACTTCCACCGATGACAAAGCTGTACTTGTACGGCCGCCCAAATTCCGGAGACCACCAGGACGCCCTGAGAAGAAAAGAATTTGTGTTGAGGACCTTAATCGAGAGAAGCATACAGTGCATTGTAGTCGGTGTAATCAAACTGGACATTACAAGACAACGTGCAAAGCAGAGATTAGTCATAGTATAGAACAGTTTTAGGTGTCTAATTTTGTACTCTTAGGTCACATGAACTAGCATGGTTAGCATCTAGGGACAAAATGTTAAGGATGTACCCATTATTTAGGCTATGTAAAAAATTTATTCAACTCAATCTGCATGTATAAACTGAAGTAACTTTGTAAGATTGTCAGGCTTGTAATCAAAAGCAAGTTCTAGCCGTCCCTTGGCTCATATGTTTTGAACTTTTCTTTTTCTTTTTTTCTTTTTTTGGCCACCAGGAGCTCAAACGCCTATTACCCATGAGAGGTTAAACTTGCAATTTTACATTTAAGATAGAATGGAGGTGATTAGTGTCATTTAATACACGCCCGTTTGCACAGATGTGCTTTCATACACGCACATGCACAAACAAACAAAAATACACACACAACTTGTTCTCATGGTAAAAGCATTGATTCAATTGAGATGTCTTCGGAAGATATGAGGAGCAATTTATGTCCAATGCAACCTTTTTAGTGTCCCTAAACAAGACCTACACATTAGTGTCAGACACTTGATCGTCTGCAACCTTCCCTCCGAGCCATGGGGGCCATTTCATGAATGAAAATAGAATAGAGCGATGGAAATGAACAGAATGAGGATCAACTTCTTTTATATATAACCATATATAGCACATCAGAATATATTATTTCAAGAGCTAAGTTGAGGCCAGTCTTCCTCAGTCCAAGAAGTTACAGCTTGAAACCAGTGAGATAATTTAAGTTCAACTGTATAGCTCCTTGAATCTTCTGCAGGCCTCCAAAATATTTTCCCGGTGACCAAATGCGCTTACACGAACAAAACCTTCGCCACCAGGTCCAAAACCGCTGCCAGGGGTTGTAACCACATGGGTCTTCTCAAGTATCTCGTTGAAAACATCCCATGAGCTTCGTCCAGGGAAATGGACCCAAACATATGGTGCATTTTTCCCTCCATATACTTTAAAACCAAGCGATTCAAATGTCTCCACTATTATCTTTGCGTTCTCTTTATAAAATGCGATGACTTCCTTCATAGCCTGCATTCAAATTGAGCGAGTCCATCATGTAGCTTGTCCAAGAAGTATTCTACCAAAGGCCAAACCAGCTTTCATAAAAGAGGCACCTCAGAACCCACAACATTTTCAAGAAGTTTCTGTTTCTTTCTCGATAAAGAACTGTGACACAGAAAACCTGTCCTTTTATCTTTTTACTTTTTATTGGGTGAGAATGCTAATTTTTTCCCCCCAATAAGGTATGAAGAACTGTGAAGAAAATGTAATGTTTTCAGTAAAACTAGCATACTGGCTAAATCATGCAGCATTCTTTCTTCAGAAACTCGTACAAAAACAATAACTGACCTTGAGACCTTCTGGAGAAAGGCAAGCCAGACCCCCTGCCTGGGAAATATTGGATGCACCATTAAAGCAAGTACTCATAATTCGGCTGAAATCCTTGGCAACAGGAAAACCATCAGAAAACAGTAACTGCTTTGGAACCACACTCCACCCAAGTCTAACTCCAGTGAATCCAGCATATTTACTAAATGATGCAGTCTCGATCGCAACCTGCAATCTCAACAAGGTTTCATGCACAATATTACGATACAGAAACCTACCATGTATCCACGGTTAGAAACAGCTTCCTAACTGAACCCTCCTACTATGTGTTAGCCTACAGAAAAAGCCTAAGCCATCTCCCATAAACTTTTTGCCCAATAGTTTCCTAGATGGACATCTTGCCTGATGCCATCATGCCATTGTATTTGAAAATTTCCCTGATTAGTAACCAAGCTACCTCAGTAATATGGTGGACGCAACCATGAGACAAAAAACATAAAGCACGTATGCCTACACTTCTGGTAAGATACTTAAGGGAATGCAAATATTAGGTTGAAAAAGCTACCTAAGCTTGCAAGATGTTTGACCAGGCAAACCATTTGGTGAAATGAACATTCAGATAGGCTAATGTATGTGGGTGTAGAGACTTATCAGCTCAATCGATATATCGAAGTATCTAATAAAATCTATTAAAAGACTGATTATTCACAAAGGTATGGACAGTGTGACTCAATTTTCATGCTCTGTCCAATCCATGGGAAACATGTCTAGTTGAGCACCAATAGCTCATGTCAGTTTGACAAAAGACCGTAGTGGTAAACGAAAATAAGCAAATTTTTTGTCAAAAAAACAAAGAACAAAAATGAGCAAATCTCACAATATCTCAATTCAGAAGGCTAGGCAATTGTTAAATAAAAAATTGAAAGAAAATGGCATTTGCACAAGTTAGAATTATAAGATCTAGATTGTGGCGGGAAAAAAATATTTTAGATAATGTAGCAACAAGTGCCACAACTCAATTGGAAAATGACAAGTAAGAGAAGGGTCCATCCAATGCATTCTATGATAAAAATTAGCATTGTATAATCAGAACTGTGTATCAATGTTAATAAATGACAATGCTCAAAATTATAATCAAGATGGTGTAAGACTGAACATAAAGCTCAGCAGTTTTTAAGCACTAGTTGCTAATTCTAGACTGACCTCTTTGGCTCCTGGGATTTCAAAGATGGAACGTGGGCTGTCATCTGATATATATAATGCGTATGCAGAATCAAATATTATTATTGACCCATTATTCTTAGCAAACTGAACTAGTCTGCTTAGTTGCTCCCTTGTGGCCACAGCACCAGTAGGATTGTTTGGTGAACAGAAAAATATTATATCTGTTCTTGAAACAGAGGATAAATCAGGGAAAAAACCATTTTCAGGACTACACCACATGTATTCAATTCTCCCGTACTTCTGAGGATCCTTCAGATATTGGCCAGTCTGACCCATAATAACACTTGAGTCTACATAGGCCTGCATCAAGAGGCTCAAACATAAGAAAAAATCAGCTAGAAATAATGTAAAAATGTAAAAAAATTCTTTCTTTCTTTTTTTTCCTATTTCTGAATTCTTCAAGACGGTAATGAGGGCAGTGATCAGCACATTAATAAAGGTAACTGTAAAAGTTGTTTTATGGTCAATAATTTAAACAGCATATCAGGACCGAGAGGACTGATGAACAATACGAAAATGATTCCTACCCAAGTTTGCAAGTGAAAGGCACTAATAATTCCCACATGTTTACATCTGTTGCAATTTCAAATCAAGAGCAGTCTTCTTTATAAAAGGGCGTTTTCTCAAATGCGAAAATAAACTCACATTCTTAGGATTTGAAAGAACAGTAGAATCTCAAGCTCTCTTCCAGATTTATTTTTTTTTTAAATTAAAAAGTAGACACAAGCTAATCAGACCATTTTCCATTGCATCAAAGAGCATGACAGGCCAAATGAATGAACTAAAATAGTGGGCACAGCGGAGAGCAATAATGGGACAAAACCAAAAAAACTTCAAGCCGTATTAAAAGCAGAAATGGCTTGCGTAATCAACTGTTAATGAGACCATATTAATGCAAAGTGAAGCATAAATTACCGGGTATGATGGGTTTTGCACTGCCATCCTCACATTTGAGCCAAAGACAACCTGTAAAAACAATCATGAAAGGACAAGTTGGAATTTGAAATATCTTACTGCTGAAAGCTCCCCGTTAACAGCAACCATGTTGAGAAAGGAAATTATTGACATATAAAAATTAAATTTACGATCAAACCTGGAGACGAGATATGTCGCATTTTGATCCATCCGAGACAAATATATCATCTTCCTCTATGCCAAGATCACTGTAAAATGTTGAAGCGATTGCCCTTCTTAATGGCTGCGTAGATTAGAATCACCAGTCACTCTTCAAATATCATAAATTTCATTAATATAAATTTCGACTTAAATGAACAACTAAATAGGATAATTATATGATCCCAAGATCAAATTCCTTCCATCTTTATCCAATTAAGTTCCTGAAATAAACTATAAGACTTGTCCAAAGGATTGTTGAAGTGTTCAATCACGGTACAAAGATAATGTTCTCTAGCTACTTCAGTGCTTTTTTATGATAAGAGGAAAAAATATGATATTAAAAACTTAATAAAGAATTCCAGATGCTTTGCTTATTTTTCTTGGTTTAAGTAAGAATTTATGTTGGAACACAAAACTTCCAAGCACACATTATGACACAAGTTCAATAGCCATCAAAACTTGAATTTTTTTAAGGTAATCAAAATTCGAGTTTTATTTCACTTAGGGCTTATAAAATCTCCTTCCGAAAGTCGGTGTGATAAGAAGCATTCTTATAAAGCTCTCATTTTTCACTTGGCTCTTTGAAAAGCATGTTGCATTTAACACCAGGTGTTAATGCACCGGATGTGTCCTTTCCAAACTATCAGCATAAGTAGAAATCTTTGATATGCAAGAAAAAGTACTGATAGTGCCTTTTCTTCAAGTCAACACAACATACCTTTTCACCTTCATATTCTCCATAACCACGATAACCCTCAACCGTAGCTAATGAATTTGCTTTCTGAGGAAAATAGTTTGATGCTCAGTTAGCTACAGGCAAAGCACTGTTTTATTTATGAGTAACGAAAGTGTTTTTCTTGAATCAAATAGGAACATTGTACAAAGCATACCAACATCCCATGTAATCTCTATACTTAATTATAATCTATAAAAAAGACTTGAACAGAATCAATAGAGAACGGAAGGGGGTTTATACTAGTCCTTGGTGCTGAGAAAGCAGAGTTCGCACAATGAGGAATAGCACTTAACAATTGCTTGACTTGATCTATTTCTATGATAAACACATAATTAATGAACAAGCCCCAACTTCAATTAAAAAAAACAGAGAGAGAGATGCTTGTAAAAAGAAAACATAGTCCAATGATGCATTAACTTCATTAAAGCAAAAGCTGTACCATTGCCATTGCAGAAGCTATGACTTCAGGAATAGGGTCAGTAGTATCGCCAATTCCCAAGCTTATCAATTTTGAGTCTGGGTGCTTTAGCAAGAGTGCAGATTTTCTTCTTGCAACCTATTGTCCACGATAAAATTGAGGATATAGATTAGAAGGTAGAAAGTACGATATCACATATCATATTAGAGTCAAATGAAAGAAATAAATAGGATTAATTCATAACAAAAGCAAAAAATATCCAGTGGCATAACAGACCTCTGGAAAAAGATAGCCAGCTTGAAGTTTAGCCATGTTTGCATTGCGAGAGACATTAGTCCTGTAGCCTTCAACGTGGAAAAGGGAAGAATCATCTTAAATTCTAGATGATAAA